TGATGAAACTCAAGAAGGAAGTACATGAACAGTTCAACTACACAGAAAACAAATGAAGCCATCTCGTGGGCTTCTGGGAGATGGGATGTGCAGAGGAGGAGATGTCCAAAATATTAGTTTGGAACTTCGGATGTTAAGTGCATAGTTGAAGTGCACAGTACATAGGTTAAATGTAAAGAGTTACGGTAGTTGATCTGCGCAGTTCAGAGTCTAACTCACAGATGGAGAACTTGGGACCCTAGAATATGAAATTGATTGTGAACTTCGTTGTTACTTGGATATGGTGGTTGTCTGCTCAGAGAGACTGGCATTGTCAAATTGAAGCTCCAGGGAGCATGCAGTGGGTGCCCTAGTTCATCCGTCACATTGAAGAGTGGAATCGAGAACATGCTTATGCATTTCGTTCCTGAGGTATCAGTTGCGGCGAATTGTCGACTTCTACAACTCCCAACCTCCAAATCTTCTCTTCTTCCCAATCTCGATATCCTCATCTTTCATGCTTGTTTCTGCGTTAAATGGTCATTGGCCGATGATCTTTTTTCAAGTGTACAAAACTGAGTGAACATGACAATTCTTTCAGACGGCTATCCGCCCCTTGTCTCCCTCTCCCTCTCCCTCTCCCTCTCCCTCTCCCTCTCTCTCTCCCCCTCTCTCTCCCTCTTTATGTGCATGTGAGCTCCCTTCTCGACCCGCTCCCCCAGCCCCTTCTCTTTCTCGCTCTTTTTCTCACTCGGCTGCTCTCCCTCTCTCTGAGTTCTTCCCACTTCCTCTCTTCCGTCCTCTCTCTCTGTGCATGTCCATGTGTGCAGGTATGAATGTGTGTTTGCATGTGTGCGTGGGCATATGTAAGAGTGCCTGTTTAATGTGTCTTTGCCCTGAGTGCGTGAGGGGTACTGGATGCTAGCGCTCGATGCAATATCAGGATAGTCATGACAATCTTGTAATGACCAGTCCATCTGAGCCTCTTTTTGCCGAGGCGGATCTCCACTTCCCAAGGAAGAAAAATTGAACTGCCAGCGGCGTTTTCCTTGTTTTTTTCTTTTTCTTTTTTGCCTGGCGCCACCTGCCTTTTTCGTCCCGTAGCAGTGTTCACGTGAAGGACCTGGAATGTCCCATTTTTGGCTCTCAAGTTGGCCTGGTCGACGTACCAGCGGTTTAAAGGACAATATAGGGACTAAGATGGGAGTTCGTTGGACGTAGCCAGCCGTTGACTTGCTGATGTCTGCTTGTCGTCGGTTCATTTTGTGTTTGCAGGTGCAAGGGGTTGAGCAGGTCATGGACGATGAGCCGTATGAGATGATAGGCAATCAAGAGTTCAATAAATTGGAGGAAAAGTTGGGGTCGAGATGACGTAACCGTGGTGACTGAATGCGAACGGTAATTTTACAAGAGGTAATTAATAATTATTCATGCTTTGGATTGGTTGTAGTTGTCATTGCTGCTCAGGGAGTAGAGAAACTTAGTAGGCCATGCACACACTAAGGCTTTTTTTATACTGGTCTCTGGACATAGTTGCGGTCAGATGCATGCATCCAAAGTAGTGTGTAGTTGCGGTCAGATGCATGCATCCAAACTTCGAATGTAGTGCGTAATTGCGGTCAGATGCATGCATCCAAACTTCCGAAGTAGTGCGTAATTGNGTTGCGGTCAGATGCATGCATCCAAACTTCGAATGTAGTGCGTAATTGCGGTCAGATGCATGCATCCAAACTTCCGAAGTAGTGCGTAATTGCGGTCAGATGGAGGCATCCAGGGTAGGGCGTAATTGCGGTCACATACTGAGGGCATACTCACACTAGTACCTTCTTAAGTTTTTACTTATTTATGGACGTGATTGCGGTACGATCCATCCAGGTCTGGCCGTAATTGCAGTCAGATGCATTTTGACAAGTGCAGTGTGAGTATGCCCTGAAAGGACCAAATACGTGTGTGCTATTTCCGAAGGGGGGTCGTGGAGGATCAAATGCCTCTCTAGAGCTTGGTTTAAGTGGCGTGGCTTGTAGCCACCCGTCTATCCTGAGTAGCTGGAAGTTGTTTCAACGCGGGGCCCGCTTTTAATCTTCTAACGCGCGTTGAAAACGCGGAGAAACTGCATTGAAACCCCCGTTTATCACGGCTTACCGCGACCCGGGAATATTTTTTTCGTGGGAAAAACATGAGCAAACATACAACCCCGTATAGGATTGTAGATCTTTTCAAGGGCTGCAACCCGGTATTTTTTTTTTTTTTTTTTTTTTGAACACTCGTTGTATTTAAAAAAGACTTTAAAAAAGAGAGAAACATACAACGAAAGAAAAAAACAGGAAAAAAGATGAAATGGGTGGGTTTCCCTTTTTCTCGCAGAGATTTGTTTTGCAGGAAATGCAAGGAAGATGAGCAATAGCGAACTTCAGAAATCAAACAGCATCATACACATGAGGCCGGATAGTCGTGACCTCGAACCAATAGCAGAATTGCATCACGAGTTTCACCAAATAAGAGCACACCAAAAGCTCATAATTGACAATGCTGGAATAGTCTCATCATCATCAACAAAGAACCAATGTTGATATCCTATCTGGCGCTCGGCGCCCAGACTACGATTGGCAGATCCTATCTAGCCTAGACTACAATAACGCTGATGACGTCAACAGCTTTCCAAGTACGAGCATATCTCGGCCAATGCCGCACGCCTCAAGCACCAGGTATCTCTCTCGTATCAGTCACAACCTTGTTCCCCAACTCACAGATGCCACTTGCACCCAAGGACCACCATGCGCCCCATCCAGCATACAGCAGCGCAGCTCGGCTATGGCTGCCTGCTCCTTCCAGCTCGCCCGTGAGCGTGTGAGCGCTGGCCAGCAATAACGCAGCAGCGCTTGCGCACAATGCAGCCAATGCCCGAATGCCTCATGCGTGGGCAGGCCCTTCCCTATATCGAAGTGGCCTGCTGCTGCGTGCTGTGCTGCAGTACTGGGCCCCGCCCCAGCAACTTCCGGTAGGCCCAGGGAGGCTGAGCCTCAGCCCAAACGAATCAGGCCCAGGGTCACCGACAGTTACCTGTGCCCAACTGCCCACAGTCCGAGTTGGGTCCATGCTGCGTATCTCGCCCAGGGCCTGACTTAGATACATTTGATAAAGGAGGCCAGGGCCTGGGCGCCTTCAACCAACTGGCGCTGCGCAACTGCCTGAATTTTACCCCAGTTGCGAAGTAGTCCAAAACAGGCCTCTTGTCGTCTGTCGAGCCTGCCTTCACTTAGGGTGGCCGACTGTTGCAAATAGGGGCCTGGTAGGGCTTATTGAGGCCTTGTGCCTCGCAGAAAACAATAAGTAAAAAAAATAAAAAAATATAGGGGTGTATATCTTTTGGAGAGCTACAACCCCGTGTTTTTTAAACCACCAGTACAAGTTTGGCGTCCGGTTTCGACAAGTCCTGGCCAGTACCCGAACTGTCAGGAGGCCGAGCCCGACATTGATCAATCTGATCGGCGACCGTCGTTTCATTTCGGCCTCCTGAAAGGTCGGAGGCCGAGTATTTTCGAACCGACAAAGGTACTGGTGGTTTAATTTTTTTTTTTATAACTTTTATTTAAAAAAACTTTGAAAAAGGGAAATTGAAATCACACTTCTGATTATTCAACTTGTCATGTATGCAAACAGCGAAACAGCAACTGGCGACATGCGCCCACACAATACTCAAGATATCGTAACCAGATATGAGTTCTCTTCAACTGGCTATGGCGACTGGGCGCCCACACAACTCACTGTTCGCACTCTGGATCACCCTGGATGTCCCACACGCAACACTCAGTATCATACTTCACACACCACACATGCTAGGCTACAGCTATGGCAGCGCTAGCTGCCACTACCTATCGCTGCACTCTACTCCTCT